GGGGGGGCGGGTGGCTGACGACAGGCATCCCGGGCCCAGATGCTCCAGACCCCAATCAGTGCAGGAGTGTGTGGGGCAGAGGATATTGGGTGGTACTTACTGCTTCTCTGTCCCCACCAGGTCCCCTTCCAGCCTGCAGGGTCTGGTCCACAAGTCCTTCTCCTCCAATCTAGGAAGCATCCCTGGGGACACTCCACCCTATTCCAGCCCTTCTCCACAGGCCTGGCTGGAACAACCTCTGACTGCTTTTACCCCCACTGCACCTGTATTTGAGGATCAATTCTAGATCTCAGCTCCAGAAAAATCCCAAGTAGAGAACAGATCAGAGCAATGGGAAAGAGGCATAGCTGCCAGCTGCCAAGTCCAGTCCCAGAGGAGGGCTGGGGGGGATGTGCCCCAGCTCAGAGACTTTCTTTCCAGTGCCATCTCCCCTTCCCCCTTCAATCACTAGTTCTTGCAAAGCCGGGTTATCTTGAGCAAATGACTTTACATCTCTGTGCTTCCATTCCATCATCTATAAAATGGGGATACAATTGGTGTAACTCAGAGTTGTTGTGAGGACTAACTCAGATAATGCGTACAAAGTACTTAACCCCTTTCATGGGGCACAGGGCTTTGCCAGTGTAGCAGGCTGACCCCTCCTGACACCTCTGTGTTTCAATCTCAGACACTACCGTCCCTCAGACTTTCCGGATGTCTTTTGGCCCACCCTTGAGTGGCCGGGACTTTACCCCCCAAATCAGACTGGCAGGGAGGCGAGATCTTGGAAAGAGACATTACTGACGTTTATGCAGTTTCCATACATACTTTTTTCATTCAACTCTACACCCCCTTATGAGATAATTATAATTTTTCTCTATTTTAGACGATGATGAAGAGATCGTCAGAATGGTTAAGTAACTTGCTCAAGGTCACACAGAAGGTGAGGAGCAGAGCCCAATGGTTGTACCTCTCCCCTCTGACCCCCTGTCCCTTGGAGGGCACGTTTTTAACACTAGTACTGAAAGTGTTACAGGAGGTTTAGAGGGGTCTGGAAAACAGTTCTGCCTAAAGTCATACAGACAAGTAGAGCCACCCAGGACGATCCCAATCTGTGCCCACCTTCACATAGCTGTAAGCCCCAGCCTAAAAGGACTTGAGTGTTTGAGGTTTTTCCCATTCAGGGAGTCTTTTGGAAACACCTCCACAGGTTGAAGGCATAGGACACAGTACAGACCAAGGGAGCCAAAAGTGAGGGTCCACAACTTAATTGGATGAGAAAGCTGACACCGCTAAGCCAAAGGAGAGCGTAGATATATTTCCTTAATTTTTGGAAAAGAAAACTGGGCAGACTCCGCTTCCAGCTTTGTTCTAGTGGCCGGGTTTTCCAACACGCCAGGCCCAGCGTCTGGCGAAGACCCCCCCACCACCACTCCGAAAGGCCCCCCCAACCCGCTCAAGCAGAGACGGCGCCCAGGTGGCCGTCGGTTTCCCCCCTCCGGGGGCCCCCTGCCGGCCCCGCCCTCGCCCGCCCAGGCCCCGCCCCGGCAGCGCGCAGTCCGCATCCGTTCGCGGACTGACTAGGGTGAGCGAGCGGCAGCGCTCGGCATTGTGGCAGGCGGCGGGGGCCGGAGAGGGCTCCTGAGCCCCGGGCAGCGACGGGGCGCAGAGAGGCGCGCGCCGGGGTTGTGACGGCGCGGTGCCTGCCGCTGCGAGGGTCGCTGAGTGCACTAACCTTCCGTCGCGAAACTTCGAAGCCAGGACGCGGGAGCCCGGGAAGCGCTCGGAGCCCCAGAACCTGAGGAGCGCAGAGAGGGGCGCGCCGGAGCTGGCTGGAGAGCGGGCTCTGGGCACCCACTGCGCTCCTAGCGCCGGGCAGCCCTCTGCGCAGCGTTGGCTGCCGCTGCCCCCACGGAGGGCACGGGCTGGCGCGGCCGGGCGCCGGGGAGGACGGCGAGGAGGAGGCGGCGGCGGCGGAGACGGCGGCGGCGAGGCTGGGGCCAGGGAGAAAGCCCCGGGGGAGAAGCGCCCGAGCCTGGCCGCGGGAGCATGTGGGACCGGAGTGGAGCGCGGGGTGCGCTGCTGCTGGCGCTGCTGCTCTGCTGGGACCCGAGGCTGAGCCAAGCAGGTAGGGAACGATAGGGCATGGGGGCGGGGGTTTAGGGGACCTTTGCGCCCCAATCTTTCCCGAAGTTGAAGTGGTCCATCACCGCGTCGGTGTGTACTTGGAAAACGCAAGGGCACCCAAGTTAAAAGGTAGATTTCTCCGCCCCACCAAAGTGGGAGATGGCGCAGTCACCTCGCGGGGTGGCGGGCGGGGGGGGCGCAGGCCAGGTGGTTCAGAGTAAGCTTCTTGCTCCGCCCCTGCCCCTGCCCCTCTCCTAGAAGGGATTGCTTCTTTTCCTTGGAATGGGTGTCGGAGTCTGGGTCTGCTCCTCCCGGAGGACTGGCTCCAGGGACCCCGGGCTCCCCGCGCACCGCGGCAGCAAAAAAAAAAAAAAATAGAAAAGACTATTGCTGCTCGGGCCAGGTGTGCGCTTGCTTGCTTTTCGCCGGCAACTTCCTAGTCCTGGTTCCCGGCTCTTCCAAGCTCCTACGCGCTGCACCCCCCCGGAATCCGCAGACGGGAAGGAGCAAGAGACCTGCGGAGCAGGGGAAGCGCGGGTCTGCTCCGCTAGCCAGGGGAGGCCGGCTTGAAGGGCTTTGGCTATAGAAGGGGGAAGGGCTGAATACTGCTCATACAGCTTTCCCCGCGACCGCAGGATCCGCAGGTCTAGAAGGATTTTTTCTGGGGTTTGGGGTGTGTGTGTGTGTGTGTGTGTGTGTGTGTGTGTGTGTGTGTGTTGGGTCGGGGGGAGTACATAGTGATCCTGCCAAGTTTCCTTTTAAATGGGTCACTGACATTCTCCCCCGTCCGGGGAGTGGACAAGCGGACAAGATGCGCTTGCCTACTGTGGGCCTGCAAAATGCCTTAAGGGGATTGGTGGGCTCCTAAAATAAAGTCCCCATCACCACCACCACCACCACCTCGCCCTGGTTGTGTACAACTCTCTCTTGTCTGTTGCTGGGCCCCGCGTCGCTGACTGGACTGCGTTTCTAGGCGAGCCAGCATCTCTTTGGTACCGGAACCCAAGTAGGTGGGCTGGCTGCGGCCTCTGGACACCTGAGCTCCCTGGACCGGGCAAGGTGGGGTGCGGAGGGGGGCGTCCTGCAAGGAGTCCTCTGAGTTGAGGCTGAGAATGGGGCAGGAAAGCTGGCGCAGAAAGTAGACGAGGTGACGCAGCCCTCCCCCGCCACCTTCCGCTGGGATGTTGGCATCAGCCCCCGCCCCACCCCCCCGCCCCACGTACACCCCAATAGCCCAAGATTCCTCATTCTGGAATTAATGATTCCCACGGCCTAGGAGCGAGGGCTTGGTTTTCGCACAGCCTCCACTTTTTTTTTTTTTTTCCAGCCCTCTGTTGTAAAGTTACGACACAATCATTTGATCCAAGTTAATTACGATTTGGGCAGACTCTGGTATTTAAAGCAGCGTTTTGAAGTTGGAAGGTAATGATGGGGGAGGGGGCAAGCTGCTGAATGACCAACCTTGTTTTAAAGAGTGCAGTTGAATGTGGGAGTTGCTGGGCTGGGGTGTTGGTTTCTGGTTTGAGGGTGTTTGGGGGGGTGATTGAAGGGTAGGGTGAAGTCTCTGTAAAGGGCACTTGGGAAACTGTTTTAGAACCAGCCGGGCAATGGGATCAGGAATAAATACTGAGGTTACTGAGGGTAGGGGGTGGGCCTCTGCTGGGCAGGAAAAAGACAAGACTAGTTGGCCTAGAGTTCTCCCAGAGCCGGGTTCAGCTGGGGAGTGGCCTGCCTTTCCTGCTTAACAAAGCATCCAGCCCCCACCTTCCCCAGAGGAAACCCCAGGCCCATGGCTTTGATGGATTTGGGCACAAACGGAGCCCAGCCAGAAATGGCCTCTAATACCGGGCTTTGATTTCTCACTAGTGAGCAGAACCAGTGTTGGAATTGTGCTCATTACTTAGCACGGCAGGGGCTGCCTGCCCACCAGCCTAGAGAGGGGCCAAGTGGTGGGGTCACTGTGCAGTCTTCCCTCTGCCCAGAATGTGAAGCCCTTAGAAATGTGCCTTCAGGAGGGAGAGCATGCCCCTTCCTCCAACGCAGCCCGCCTCTCGAATGCCACAGGCACAGAACATCTTTCAGAACGTTCTTTGGGTCTGGTAATTTGGTTCTTGGTCTTTTCCCCATTTCACGGATGGGGAAAACCAAGGCCAGAGTGTTGACTTTCCTCAAATCTTGCCTTCATTTGACTACAGATTGCGGACTTGCATGCAGGGCTGCTCCTCTCTAACAGCCAGGCTGGTTCAGGTCACCCTGGACTCCTGCTCGTGACCCCATCCACCTCGGCCTTGAGGCTACTGTAAAGCTGAGGGAGACAAGGCTGTCTCCACAGAGGGGGACCCCTTCTGGGGGTGTGCAGGCTCCCCTCAGGTCAGGTGGCAAGCACTTCTGTCTCATTTATCTCAGCCCCTTCCCTGGTAGATATGGGGATGAGCCCCCTTTACAGCCTCAAGGATTTTTAAGCCCTAAAGTTTGATGGTGGAAAAATCAAATCTGGAACCATAAAACCCCAGACCCTTAGAAGGAGGTGTCAGCAAGTGACTGGCCAGCAGAGGCCACTTCAAAAGCCTGGGTCAGCCCCGAGGATCTCCTCTCACCTCACCCCTTAGCCTTTCCTGGAGTTTTTAAAGAGTCTTGCCTTGGCCTCTGACTGGGATGGTTGAGAAGGGATCGCGGTATCATGATAACACTTCTTTTTTAAGCTGTAATTAAAACCAGAGTTTTCCCAGTGTCTCTGCTGTGTGTGCAGGTGTGTGCATGTGTGTGGGTGTGCATGTGTGTGGGTGTAGGTGTCAGATGGTGGCCCATCAGAGTCTCCAGAGGGAGACTAGAGCAAACACCCATCTCAAACAAATGGAAAATCAAGAGTGTCTTAATGTGCTTTCTCATTAAAGTGGAAGTATCACTATAGGGGAGAAATTTCGGAGGTAATTTCTCTCCTTCCTCCACTCCCACCCCACTCCCAACTGGGAATTCCAGAGGACAAAACAATTCCCCTTTCCAACCCCTTTATTTAACTGCTGAAGCTTTGGGACAGGCCCTGACATGCATGGGGGTTACTTGGGGACTCAGGGATAGATCTAGGATCTGAACTCAGGCCTCGAAAACCTCAGGCTGCTTCTGACTCCTTTCTACTGCTAGGCTGCCCACTGGCCAGCAGGGGGTGGGGGGGGGGGGGGGTGTCTGGTACTGAGCTGCCCAATGGAGGCCCTGAGGGAAAGCAGGCAGCTAAAGATAAGGTTTGTTTGGTAGTTAGGTCAGACTGGGACTTGTAGCAGGATTGGGGGAAGAGGTGGAGTCAGGAACCAGGACCCCAGACAGGTGGAACAGGGCCCCGCCACAGAGGTCAGAGGTCAGGCCCGAGACTAGCCAACTGCCCAAAGGTTGGCTCCACGCCTGGTCCTGATCTGCCCCAGGTGAGATATAAACCACAAGCCAAGCTCCCTTGGGCTGCAGAACTACCTGGTTCTACACTTTAAAGGTCTGCCTTCATATGTGTAGATGGAGCAGAATGTATTTTTACTTTTTATTTTGAAACTTTGGGGAGCCCATCTCCTCCCCACCCATGTTGTTGAGTTTCTGGCTGTCAGGCTTAAGATGAGATCTTCCCCTCTCCCCCTCCCCTCCTCACCACTGTCTTCTAAGGAGGGTGTGGACTGCCTAGGACTTTGAGGATGAGGGTAGAGAAGGACCCCCTCCTTCCAAGAGAGTAAGGTTGGTGATTCCTGGAGCACCGCCCCCCGCCCCAAAGCATGTTCTTTTGACCCTGAACCCTGGGGTTAGGGTGCCAAGGAGACACCTTGGAGCCCACCTGATGCCTGCAGGGAAGGGAGAGAGACGGGGTCGCCAGTTGGGACTGGGACTGAGGAACAGAGAGACCCTGCCCCCTTGGTTGGGTGGCTCCCCTGGGGAGAAGGGAGGGGAGCAGGGCATCCTAGGCCACAGCCTGTGCCTCTCCTGGCCTCCTCTTCCTTCTCCTCCTCACCAGTTTCCTCAACAGCTTCCACAAATGGAGTCATTAAAGCTGTGAAGCCAAAATGAAACCAAACAAGTGCCTTCTGGGCTTTTCTGTTTCTTGTCTTTATTTTTTTAAAGGAAAATTTAAAATACCGTAACTAGAATAATACGAGGAGAAGGTGGAGGGAATCGGTGCAAGGCCCCCTTTGATTTGCTTCCCGAGTTGGGGCTGGTGCGCCCCTCCCACCCCCCCATGGGCCCGGCCGCCTGGGGGGATGTGTCCGGATCCCGACATTCACTTTGGGGAGCCGGGCGTCCCGCAGCTGGCCTCGGGTCCCGGCTGTTAGCTGGGCGGGCGGGCGCGTGGCATTGGCACTTGGCCCCGCGCCTTCGCTGCCGCTGCGCCCCCACCGGGTCGGTCTCGCGGCACCCCTTCCTCTCCGAGCGGTGGCTTTTTTTTCTCTCTAATGGCCGCGAAAACACTGGCTGAAGTGCGCGCACAAATCGGCCGCGTCCCCGCTCCCTCACCCCTTTTGTTCCCCGTCCCTTCTCTCCGAAAGCTGTCGGGTGCGGGAAGCGCCCGAACTGACCCTCTCCAGCCGCGCGGCCCCACAGTGATGAGCGCTTACCTGAGACGGCCGTCTGAGTGCCCCCGCTCCTCCTCCCTGCGCCCCCCAGCACCCCCTCTCTCCTCCCCACTGCCCTCCTCCGCGCCCAGCTCTTCTCCTCCCTCTCTCCCTGCACCCCCTCCCCTCCTCTGCAGAGTTCCCCCGGGAGCGCCAACACCGTGGCGCCCAGCCTAGGCGCCTCCGTCCTCACCTCCCAGAACAGGCTGCCCGCCCCCCGCCCCCGCCTGCGCCTCACAACTTTCCCTGCGCCGCGTGGCCGGGTTCTCCGGGAAGGCAGGCTATGGGTGTGAAAGTGTGTATTAAGGAGTATGCCTGTTGCTGGGCAGGAGGGGTGGGTGGTGAGAATGTGTATTAGGGGGTGGGCAGTGATGGTAGGTGTGGTGTTGCACTGGCGTGTTAGGCTATGAGGTGAAGG